ATGCATTAAAAAATCAAACTATTTCTTACCATCTCCACTATTATCACCCTGATCTGAGCCACTATTATAGTCATTTGGATCTCTGATTCCCTGCACTCTACTCCTAACTCATAGGTACATGATGTTTTAAAAATACCAGTTAGAATATGTCTCTTTTCTTTTTTTTACATATATATTTATTTTAGTTGTAAATGGACCTTTATTTTATTTATATGTGGTGCTGAAACTCGAACCCATGCTAGGCAAGTGCTCTACCACTGATCCACAACCCCAGCCACACATGTCTCTTCTATTAAAGACCTCCCACAGCTTCCAAGGGCCCTTACAATAATTTGGTTATCTATTATCTCCCAGCCTTTATCAACTACTCATCTCCACCTTGTTTATCCCTCTCCAAACAATAGCTTCATTTCAATTTCTTGAGCATGACAGGTATGTTCCTGAAAGCATCTTTGATGGCTGCTCTTTCTGCCTAGAATACTCTTCCCTACATAGACACTTGGCCAATTCTCTCCAAACTCCTCGACTTCTCTCAAAAAGCACCTACTCAATAAGGCCGAAACTGACCATCATACTTAAAAGACTAATTCCCAAAGGCATTCTAGAACTTTCCTCAGACCCTTTCTTGCTCAATTTTCATGACCTTCTGAAAGTTTAAATTAATATTACTCAATGCATATTCACTTTCTGCATCCAACGGTATGTAAATTTCATCAGGGCACAGATTTTTGTTTTGTTCACTGAAGTAAACTGGGCATCTTGAATAGTATCTGACATATTATGGGAGCCAAATAAAATATATGTTCAATAAATAAAAGAAAGTAAACTTCAGTAAATATAACGTGTGAAGGGAAAAAGTCCCAAAAGGAGATAAAAATTTACAAACTATGAGTACAGAATTTGTGTCACACCCCATTTTACGGCTGAGAATTAACTAGAAAACAATTATCAAGTGTTTAAGCATTTGTTAAATTATTTGTTTTAATGATCTTAGATTCTAAAAATTCCTTAGTGTTCAAATCCTTGAAATGTGGTATGAGCTACAGAAATTTAGTACTCCCTTCTCATTTCGTAGTTTAGAAAATTAGAAGTCTTCAAATTCGAGCAATCAGTTTGAGACCTTCTTGACTAAACCATCCAGTTAAAATTGGTTCCTTTGTCAGAGTTCGCAAGAGGAAAGTTGGAAGGCAGACCTCACGCTACGAAGCACAGTAAGGAGACTCCTAAAGAATGCTTCTCGAAATTCAGCAAAACCCATAGCCGCTGGACGCTGTAAGACTTAACTCAGTCGGCTAAAAACAGGGTGCTGAGCTGACCACCACCCCAGGTCCGTTTAGCTGGCATCGAGGTGGGGCTGGCGTGCAGCCGCCTCTCCCTCTTCTCTGGCACCAGCCGCGGAGTTAGTAAGGAGCCGCTCCGGGCCCCGGGAACCAAGAACCCTCCAAATGACCCTTGGAGACCACCCAACCAACCGTAGCCTGTTGTGGGGGCGACAGAGGGCGAGGCTCAGGCTTCCCGCGCTAACCCAACACAGCCCACCCACTACCTGCGGGCAAGGCGCTTCCAGCTGGGGAACGCACAGAAGCGGCGCCGCCAGAAGCCTGGCTGGAGGTGCCCACCGCGCTGACCACCTCTTCAGACGCCGCAGAAACCGCAGAGCTGGGCCGACGACCCGGAAGCGATCGCGGAGCCGGAAGTGACATCGGGCGCTAGGACCGCCCACCCCGGCTCAGCGCGCCGCTCAAACTTTGCGAAATGATGGGAGTACTGAGAAAATTAGGGCTGGGCTTTCAAACCCTGCAGCGGCGGTGAATCTACCATTTGAGCAGTTCACCAGGTGTACTAATTCGTTCATAATTTTTAAAGAATCTCCACTATTAGATGCGATATTTAAAAAATGTAGGGCACTTCCATTTTATGTCTGGGTTATGTTCAGTGTAATACTGTTGAAGACTTTGAAATACTAAATTGGAGACTAATTCTGAAGATTATAGCAGGGTGTCTTTTAACCATTCAATATAGGGCGGCAATTAATCTAAACCGGCAAGATTTTAGTTTGTGATTAAGAGTTTTAATTTGGGAGACACTATTTAAATTTTATGACTAATATGCATGTCAAATACTCCAAAATTTCAAGTCCTCATAATAATACCAAATTCCTTTAGGTGTTCATCAGGGCGTATCAAATCCTAATTGCATTAAGCTTAGCAGTTATGTGCACAGCAAATTGCCACTAAGTGGCTGAGTTGATGAAGGAGATAAAGTTCAAAAACAAGCGCGACCAACTGGAACCTCTGAACAGGTTTATTATTTATTATTTTTATTTATGCCATTTTCATTCCCAGAACAAAGCTGTTCTGTCTCATCTTTGTATTCCCTATTAATTAAAGTAATTCTAAATGATCAAATGCAAAATTTAATTATAGTTTAAATGTTAAAGCTGGTTGAATTTTTCACTCCCAAAAGAATAGGAAGTATCCAGACTACATAAAGAAGAGTATCTGAAAATTAGATATTTAAGTGAAAAAAATGGTAGCATAATGAAAGAGAAAAACAAATGCAATCATTCCAATTAATTTATTTAAATTCATGCATGTTGCAAAGTTATGTGCAACAGATCAGGACACAAGTTGTTGTACTCCTAACAAGTCAAAGGAAAAAAAAATATTACATCTTCTTAGCAAATCATGACCAACTGAGTTATTTCTCACCTGAAACACATCAACAATTTGCACATACACCTCAGAACTGAATTTCTCACACTGTGAAATGACAGTACTAAGCTAGTCAACATCATCCTGGGCTGGGGATAAGCTCATTGGTAGTGTGCTCTTCCAGCATGCACAAGCCCTGGGTTCAAACTCCAGCACCACCACAAAAAAAAAAAAAAAAAAAAAGAGAGAGAGAGAGAGAGAGAATGAGATCATGATCTTAATAGTGAAAAGGTCACATTAAATTGTGAACTTGTGGTAATTAAAAATATTTTTGAACTATATCAAAGTCAATTAGTATCTAACAAACTGAATCATTCCAAGTGAATATAATGAGTGCCCCAAGGACTTTGCAAATCAGTGACTCTGAAACACCATTACTTACTAGCTAAGTTTATGTAAACAATTAAGCTACTGTTAAGTCGATATTCAAAAAGTGCGGAGTAGCAGCTCGTAATTATTTTTAAAGTTCCTTCTTTGTCAAACTGTGAAAATGCAGAAAGATACTGATGCAAACATTTTAATCATTTGTAGAATGTCTTGTAAGATAGTTATCTGAAGCATAAAGGCATGTCACACTCTAGTTATGTGAAAGCAATGAACTCTTTTGATTTTCACCTGGTGCTTAATTTGTTGTTCATTTTTCATTTAGTTCTCAAAAAAATATATAGTTGCAACAAAGGTGTCCTTTCAAATTTTAGTCACTCCTTACTATTCAACAAACTATTTTCAATTACCATTTAGGACTTTAAAGAAGTTACATTACTAGGCCTCCCCAGTGATCTGATTTTAAATTCATTCACAATCTCAGGAAGGGGAGTTCCCCCAGGTAATTCTTTTGTACTAATTTAGAATATCCAGTAGATAGTACCTCACTTTTCTCCCCAGTTAGTCTTCTCATGCAGTCTAAGTTCTCCACACTTTCTCCTAGCAACTCCAACTGCACCATTCCCATTCCCTATGACAAGATAAACTCTTCTGGGATAGAACTGTGGCTCAGTGGTAGAGCGCTTGCCTAACATGTCTGAGGCACCAGGTTCGATGCTCAGCACCACATAAAATAGATAAATAAATAAAGTTTAAAAAATTAGAAAAAAAACCTCTCCTATTGCAAAACAGGCCTTTTAAGTACATTAATTCATTTACTTCATTCCTGAGATTTATTTATAATCCATTTTTCAAGGACATGGGGAAAAAGGCATGAAAACAAAATGGAATGGTGTAGCCAATCTCTAGTGTCATCCTATCTCAGCCTGCCATCTGATTGAGCAATGTTAACAATTTTCTATTTAGCATACAGGAAAGGGAAGGCTGAAGGTACTGTGTCATCTTACATACAATATTACTAACCTCATCAAGAAACTGGCTTGTTGTACCAGTTAAGTTCTAATGTTAATTTAACTATCAACTGAAGAAATTTAAAAAGCCACTTTTACATTAAATCAAACACATTTCCAAATTCTCTGAGCTCTCATATAAACAGCTAATACTGAGTTTATACAGTTAGTTGAAAGAAGTCTATTAAGAGACAAACCCTTTACCTTTTTTAATTCTGGAATTGCAGTTGATGAAATTCTAGCTATATTTATTTGTTAATCAGATTTCAGTATTCAGTGCAGTGTGATGTCCCGTATGGAAAACTAAGGTTTATCAAATTTAAAACCAGAAATAATGGTTCTAAACTTTAATTTGAGCACTCTACTTACTAAGCCAGGATTCAAACTTGCTTCTATATGAAAAGAAAAAGCAGAGGAAAATATGAATTCTATTTGTAGGTTTTACCAGCTTTATCCTCTTCAATCCAGTCTTGTTCATACATTGTGCATAGCCCATAGGTTTTCTGCTGGATACAAATAATCAGCTGCCATATATATATAGTACTTTCCTTAGGAGAGACACATTCAATGGCATCTCCGATAACAGCTAAATCTTTATTCCTTTATAAAGGTTTCCCTTCTTTTCAATAACACTGGTAGACCATATTAGAATCCTATTTCATTTCTCCTCCTAACCCCTTGAGTTAGACTATTAAAAGCTTAAATGTGGGGTTGGTATCATGTCTCTCCTTGGTGCTTGCTTAGTACTATAATCAAAGCAGAATAGAGGATCAAATTACCTCATACTTTTTTAAGAGAAACTTTTGGTTAAAAAGGTGCACTTAGAGCCAAAGACAGTGACAGAATATTCAAACCAGTTAAGTTAGTTCCATGACCTTGGCAGAAAGTTAATAAATTATAAGTACTTTCACATCAATCAGCAATGGAAATTAAAATCAAATATGGAAAAATGTCATTGTTCTTTCTGAATTTTAATATTCTGACAGCAAATAGGCTACTTCTGTTAAAAAAAATTGAAACAGACCATTTTGCAACAATATATATTTAGGAACAATTTCTGCAAAAATAAGTTAATAAACACAATAAAAGAATTGAGTGAAAATTATTATGTATTTTTGAAACTGAAGAGCCAAATACTTAATGTGGTGCAAAACCATCTATTAAAAAGCCCCGTCCACTTTGAGACACACAGATGAAAGACTACTTAAAATTGTCTACAAGTGTTATCTAACCACAATTAAATCCAACATCTTTATTCATAATCCCCAAATTCTGAAGGAATAACTGAATAGTTCTTGTCAGTTTATTTCTTCAATACAAAGTGTTTCTAAGATTTCAGCAAGAATAATGGTTTTGGCTTAATTCATTGTAATGACATTAATAAAGGATCTGTCTAGAGCTGCTGGATCCCAGTCAAAAGGCTGCTGAAGAATGCTTCATCCAAGGAATCCTCTAGCATCTCCCATAACTGGACTTAAGTCAGCATGCCAAGTTTAGGACTGATGAGGACAAAAAGTAAAGGAAAATCCCCTTTTATAGCAGACACTTTATATTAAAAAAATGACAATGGTAAAGCCATGATTGTACGATCAGTACAGAAGAGAACAAATCTTAAAAAGCTAAGCACAAATCTACTTCAATTTTGCTACTCTACCCTTCTCTTTTTGTAAAATAGCTTACAGGACATGCTGGACAGCATGACCTTTAAATATGGAGAATATTAAATTTACTAAGTATATGTCACTCAAGTTTATGAAAATTCTGGACAAACCTGTTGTTTTAGAATGATTCTGTGGTTAATTAAGCTCTGTTTGGAGGCACAAATACAATTTATTTCAATATAATAGTACTTACCAAATGAAACAAGGAGTTTACATACTTATCAAATGTTTCATCCCAAACAGCGCAATATAATGATGCTCTAAGACATACAAAATTAACTTAATTTACAGTATTATTGTCTATTATTGTCAAACTCGATTCAACAGAAACTTGAAAGCACATCATATTTGACTAGGTCAAACTACTACTGAGTTCAAATAATTGATATGGAAGTATTTTGGTAAAGTGCCCACAGTGAGAGCAGTTTAAAAAGCAGCCCCTGTTTTCTACAGAAATTGTGACAGTGAACACTCATCACATTCTCTGCAATATCACAAAGCACTCACACGAATTCTGGGGAGTGATACCCTGGACACACAGCTTATTTCACATTAGTGAACAAATCCAAAAATTTTTATAACAGTTCTGACTTTGGGCCAGAAGATAAAATATCCCATATTTACATATGTACAAACCCTAACTTCTAACCTATTAGTTCTAAAAATGGCTTTTTGACTTGTTTTCAGAGGAAAAAGTGTACAATGCACTTGTATTTGTGCTTCTGAATTAAGGAACAATATACATTAAGTGGAAAAAAAAAAAAAAAGCTTGGGATGGTACTATCTACTTAAATTATGTACATGATCTTTGGATATCTGAGAGAATCAGTTTAACTGACCCTTGCCTTAGAGCAACTTAATTTTCTAAAGTTACCCAGGAAATGTATTCAACCATTTACAAAATCAAAACATCTAACATGTACTTTATAAAATCATGATCTTATTTACCTGCCTATTCTTCTACAAGATAGGTATACATTAAAAAATTTTGCTCAAAAACATAAAAATATATATTATTTCTTTGACATTTAGGCATATAAATATTTTACTGAAGATGCATCATCACTCAATAAACAAATGCAAAAACTGCTTTATAAAGTGTAGTTCTCTGCTAATTAGCAATATAAAATACAAAATGATTACAATATAATTAACCATTAAAGAGCTAAATTCGAGAGATTTGCAAACCAATACAGCAGTAAATAGCCCCTTGTACAAAAGTCCATTAAGACAAAGTCAATTTTGTAACAGATTACATAAAAATGCAAGCCAATAAATGCATTATAAATGCAAAAGAGAGCATTGCTTCATCAGCACATTCTTCAGTCTTGTTTGAACTAGATGCCAAACTTACTGTTCACTTTTCGGTTCATCTTGTTTTCCATTAAGTTCTTGATCAACTCTGTTCAACAAAATATACAGAAAATGAGGTACCAGTAACTAAACAAACCTTTCTAAAAGTACCAGTAACTACTTTTAACATAGAATATTATTCTGTTAAAAAAACAACAACAACAAAGCTGTGCAAAGAAGCAGACACAGAAAAAGATTACCAAACATTATTTCCCCATCCAGAAAAGAGAATTTTTAAAAGACAGGACACTGGCAAGAAACATGACTACAGTTTCTTTAAAGACTATAAAATACTTTACATACAAACTCATAAACTTCCTTAAAAGTTCATGACATAGTGTGGCTGCAGCAGGGATTCAAGGGCTAAGAGACTGGCAACATGAAAAATAACTCCCTCAAAAAAAGATTTTATTTACTGAAATATGAAGGGAGATGGGGGTTTAGCTCAGTGGTAGAGTGCTTGCCTAGCATGCCTGACGTCATGGATTCACAAAGAAATATTAAAGTGTCACTAAAGCCACTAAATCATCATTAAATGATTATATGATCTTAAGTTCAGCAAAAAATGCAGGCTTATTGAAACCTAATCATTCTCCAAAATTTATTGGTACACTTAGTGAATGTCTTTCACTTATGCTGATAAAAAGAAACGATTAAGGATTTAAAACCAAGAAATACCTAAATGTACATTTAAAAAAATCTCATTAGAGATTAGTGGTTGTTTGAACAGAGGCAGTATAAATATTTAGGCCCAAGGAGATTTGAAGGATTACATAATTATTGCATAATTATAGACAACCCTTTAAAGACAATATACAACAGTCTATTACTCTCATATATGTAGTAATTTGAATAACTTATGTGGGGACATTTAAAATAATCTGGTATGATGCAGGAAGAGATTATCATACTTGTTTCCAGTACTATGATCATTAGGACCCATTACTATGATCACCTGAATATTAGTGAATCAGATCTAAAAGCTCTGGCCTGGCTGGGTTTGGTGGTACATGCCTATAAACCTACAGACCTGGGAGTATGAAGCAGGAGGATCCCAAGTTTGAAGCCAGCCTCTGAAACTTAGCCAGATCCTGTCTCAGAAATAAAAATGGGCTGGGGGTGTAGCTCTATACCAGTACCAAACAAATAAAAAGCTGTGGCCTGTTGTAAAACTGGATTAACATTTAAAAATATTCTTTATAAATATTTGAAAGATCTGATAATCATAATTATTTTATTTTTAAGCTGTTGAAACAGTTTTACAATCCCTAGCTACCTGGCCACACTGGCACGGAGTTATTTGAAAGAAACACCTGAGACATTTAAAACTGCTGTACTTCAATACTCACAATACTCAATACCCTTTTAAACACCAATACTTAACATGGAGATATTGCCTTACATAAGGTCTCATACCTAGCCATTATTTTGACTTTAAGAACATTTTTCTGTATTAAAATTGAATTTTATTATTCTCAAACTGATAATGATTTATTATTTTTTAAGGCTAAAGAAACTCTGTATAAAAATTAAGTTACTTAAGATATATGTAATATTATTATTTAAGGTTAGACACAAACAAAGGTGAAAAACAAAATCAAAATAATAGTAATAGATTTCAAACAATGCATTTAAATAAAAAAGTATGAGTCCCATTTTTTTTTCTGCTACTGAAACTACATGACAGTTGATTAAACACTAAAAACTTTAAAAAAGATATCATACAGCCCATTTCATCAACAAAAGCAATTCATTTTAAAATCCAGGAAGTAGCTGGCTTCAAAACATTCTACGATTATAGATTTTATTTTAAATTCCAGCCACTTGTCTGGCAAATGCAAAGCAATGCTTAAGAAAGGAATGAGAAATCAGCATGATCTACAAACACTGCCCACACTCTTGCAAAGTGTCATAGAGAAATGTAAACCTATGACTCTATCACATGGTCAACTGAATTCTCACCAAAAGAATGGAAATATATTCAAAATTAAGAATGTTCCAGTACGTTACTTATAGCTGGATCCAGTTTAGCTTGTCAAAATGATTAATACATATATGATAACCTCTCATCTTAATTCTGAAGATTTATTAAACCATATTTTGCTAATGTAAATATTTTTTTAAAATCTATAAACAAATTAGATCCAAATTAGATCTAATTAGATCTAACAAATTAGATCCAAAACCTACTTTTCTAAACTACTTTATAAAGTGGTAACTATTTTATACCTTGCCTTTTCATCTTCTATACCAAGATATTAACAGATAACAGTTTGTTATGCTCAAAGCAAAAGTATTCAAAATTAAATTTAAAATGGAAAGCAGAGTGTTTAACTGTTAAATGGTACATTGAACTTTTAGGTATTTTACCACATGTAAAATTTGACTGGTTAGCAGGCTATTTAATTTAAGCATACAAGGAAATCAATGTTGGTTAGCTAAAGAGTATTTGCATTGCAAATATAATCAACCCCAAGAAACAAATTTGATTACTTAAGAAAGTTTGCATACATATTTCAAAGCACTAAGATTTAAAGAAAGGAATGAAACAGATAATCTTAAAAGTATTGGTTATTTTAAATAGCATTCTCAGTAATTTCTGTGGTTTCACCAATAGTGTTCAGATCAGTAACAAAAGAAGAGGGGCTTTAATTACTAACTGGCATTATATTTGGTATTAAAACAGGGTGAATCCAATCATATTCAATTTTAGGACTCTGGATTTTCTATATTTGGATGTTGGGGTGTATTTATATTTACAAGTGCTATTATCTTTCTCTACAAGCTAACCAACCAATAAAGAAGAGTTAGTCTGTGCAATGCAAATGGACTAGTCTAGATGCAACCCAGTCAAGGTGTGCATATACCTTTTTTGTTTCTTTTTAAACTTTTCTTCTTCATACCTTAGTAAGGAAGAGTTACTTCAGTAAATACACATTATGAGATTAACAAAAACTTAAACAAAATAGACTAAAAATGAAATCATATTAAGTCTCCAGGAAAGACCAAAAATACTGAACACATTATGTAGAAGGTAAAAATTAACTTAATAAATCTGGCATAGACATATTAAAAATACCAAACCTCAGATTAGACTTATACCAATTCTTTTTAGAAGCTAGATGGAAATAAGTGAATCTGGTAAACAGAACAAATTCCAGTCACTGCTAAGTATTAGGGTTAGGTTGATTTAATTAATAATTTATTTATTTATTTAGCAATGTGATTTTTCAAATGCTATGATGAGTTTACTCAAATTTGGAGAGCAACATGTTTAAGTACAGGGAATGTTCTTTAGTACTAACCTATCAGGAAATCATCTCTTAGATTGTAACCAGTCTTTAAAAAGCTGTTATGAAATATGTGTAGTAAGAAATACTGAAAAATATTATCTTACACATCAAAATATAAAGATCCAATACAACTAAAGGAATAAAACAAAACATACTGTTTTATGCATTCTGGTATGCCAACATATTCCATGGGAACAAGTTCCGCTAGTTCTGCCAAATTAAAGACGTATCTAATTTTTTGGCTGAATTTCGAGCTATGAAAAAAAATAAAAACAATTACCTCAGTATTTCTGACTATGAGTACTGACAAGAAATTTAAATAAGGAATTTTTTTCTACATGAATAAAACTACCTAATAAATGGTCTTGTAACAGCCAGGAGTGTTCTGATAAACCAAGAGGGATGCACAATAATTAGGGATTTTAGGTTTTTCCGTAACCTAGAAAAAAGGAAAAGAAAATTATAAATTTCCTACAAATTATAATGCTTTTAAAGACATGTGCCAGTTTATACAAAATAACTGAAATATATCATCTCAAAAGTTCTCATTTATGTATTAATACTTTTAAAGACAAGAAAACATTCTTGAACTATAATGGTTCCTTCTACTGCTATGAAAAAAAAATTATTTCATTTGGCCAAATTTATGTATATGTATATATGTATATATATATAGTATAGAATGTTATTAAGTGTCTCCTAGCATTCATTCACTGGTCTTCAGAACTTGTCAACCAGGGAAAGACTAATATAGAACATAAAAAGCAAACTATTTTTCTTTTTCAAGACTAGGGAGAAATTGGTACTAATTTCTTCAATACCATGAAAGACTCTGTGCAGGCAGAGGTGGGAGGACAGATAACTTAAGGAACACCACGAATCATATCTAATGTGTACACTTAAGGGCTAACATTGTGACTAAAAGTTAAAGACATTATACAAGACCTCTTTAAACAACCAAATTAAAATGTTTATTTATCGGGCTGGGATTGTGGCTCAGTGGTAGAGCAATCGCCTCACACAGGTGGGACCCAGGTTCGATCCTCAGCCCCACATAAAAATAAAGGCATTGTGTTGTGTCCATCTACACCTAAAAAAATAAATATTTAATTAAAAAAATGTTTATTTATCATGCATATTTCACACATAAAGTGATCATCAAATACATATATATTTATTTAATTACCAGTGTGAACCAATGCCAAATTTAGGTACCTATTAAAGCAATTGGAAGATTCAAGTTCCTTCATTAGCACAGACAACTAATTCCTGAGATAATATACTCTACGTATATTTTGGAGTTTGTTCCAAAGAAAAATTAGAGCTAAACTAGTATCTTTAAGGAACATAAAACATACTAAGAAGTATAAATAAGGCAACACTCAAAATTTAACAGGAAAAAAACTATGTTCTCCCTCTTTTCCCAAGACGTAAATTGTAGTAAAGTGTTTTAAATGGTATGAGGGATAATAAAGTGCAATCTTAGCAGTTTGTTTAAAGAATTATTCTTTATGGCACAGATCAAAATTAGTTTACTACATGACATTGGGAAATACTGTCTTTAGAAAATAGAGACCTATTATGAAATTAACACTTAATTTAATAAGTGGCTATAGTATTTTTTTTTTTTAAACTCTGATACCAAGGATTGAACCCAGAGGTGCTTAACCACGGAGCCACATCCAGCCACTTTTATTTTTTTTATTTTGAGATGGGACCTAAGTTTGCTGAGGCTAGCTTTGAACTTGTAATCCTCCTGCATTAGCCTTCTAAACTGCTGGGATTACAGGCATGTGTCACTGCACCCAGCAAGAAACAGAGTATTTTTAAGTGGGAATCAAATATAAAACTTAACTGAATAAAGCCACCTGTAAAAATTATTCAGTTTTTGTTACCTTCTATCAATTTGCTGATAACATTTTCTGAGCCAACCCAGACTGGGCATTTTTCTTCGAGTTGTTGCACCATTTAAATAAACTATCATGTAGTTTTCTGCTACTAATAGCTCCAAAGTGCCAATAACATACCTGCAAAAATAAATTAAGTTTAACTCTTAAATATCACTGTGTAAAACTGAACTAGGTTCTACAAATTATACAGTTCCCTTCTCTCCCACTTGATGAGAACAGACATAATTAAAAATTTAAAATTGCATTAGCTGGCATTATAATTACTTAAAACCAAGTTATTTTTTAGATATAAATATTGAAATATTTATAGATTAAATGACATGATGTTTGGGATCTGTTTCAAAATCGTATAGTGGGGAAAGAATTAGGAATGAAGTCTAAATTGGTAATTGCTGAAGTGGGTGACTTATATATGAAGATCTCATATACTTTTCTGTATATGATTTAAATTTTTCACAAATACATTTTAAAAACTGCACCCAGAATAATCTCAGAAATAGAACAACTCTTTGGAAATGTAAGAAGTGAGTCAGCTCATTACATTAGGCTTCTGTGGGTAAATGTAATTTAGCCATACGATTCTAAGATGAAAGTCACTTTTTTATATTTATATGTCCTCAGATGTTTATAAAGAAGTTGGAAGAGATATGAGATACACCTTCTAATTTAAAAAATGCCAATCTTTTTGTTGAGTTGGAAAACTATAGTTTCATAATTCCAAAAAGCAATGACTTAAAAGAGTCAGAAAAGGGATTGTTTATATAATTTTTACATAGCTTAAGTTCACTTCCTTAAACTAGAGATCCATTTAGCTCAGAATTCTGTCTAAACATTTTAAGATATACTTACTTAAAGAGATTGTCCATCAGGTATCTATAGTTAGGTTGACCACTTTCAGGCATAAAACAGACAGCAAATACAACAATGGCATTTAATCCATCCCCATAATATCCTGAAAAAGAAATCAAAGACAAAATCACTAGAAAAAAAATAAAAACAATTACCTCAGTAAAACAATTTTACTCTTAAGATTTTTTTTAGAGGACATCAGTATGATTGATAGAAAATAATCAATTAACACAGTTAAAGAGCCATATTTTAGCAAGTAGACAAATAACATGATATAATCCAAAAAGACACAACATCTGAAATAAACATTTTATGCAACTTAACAGTTAAAGTGGGTGTTTTCTAAAAGTTAGTTTTATTTTCAACAATGCCTAATGTTTTGTAGAATTGAGGGGATCAGAACCAAGAAAGAATTATATCTCTGACATAATTCTCAGTGGAAAAAAAAGGTACTAATGTGTTTCAACTGCAATATTTAAATATTAAGCTGTATTCAGTAACAATATTTTTGCTTTAACCATCATTTCTATTGTTTCTTAATATGAACTGAAAAGACTGAACATTTCAAGAACATTAGAATCTTCACTAACTTTCCTAATTCCTCAATTACAAAACACATTAAGTGTAATTGTCCAATATAATTATTTTCCTGTATAAAAAATAAAGTGCTATTTTTGAAAGATATTAGGTTTAAATCATAAGGCAGGTCTCACAACTTTATTTCTACCAATGAGCTGAATTAACGAATGTTGGACTTCCTGATTCAGATTATCCTGTTTCCTTCATCTGAATAAGATTAAATTAGGCAGAAGAATATTACTGCAAATATTCAAGTGATTTGCTTTCAGATGAATGAAGATTGTAGAAATAAGCAGGGGAATGCATTTGGCAGAAAGTAAATCAAGCAGAAATGATTCTATGTAGAAAATAAAATCAGTTTGTATGTCTCTGTCCAGTGTTAGGAGGATTTAAAGAAACAAGATGTGCTCTATAGAATGATTTGCATTCTGACTTTCTGGCACTATTTACACAGTACCTAGGTAAACTTTTATATATGGTACAGTCAGACCGACAGGAACTTGTACTTTCCTAGCTGTCCCATTTGACTAGAAAATCTCCTAAGGGAAGGAACTAAACTTTATTATTTTTGAATACCCCATAAATATGCAACATGGATGCTCTACAAAATTATAGAATGAGCTAGTTCTCTAGTAAAGCTAAATGGTTTGTTAAGGGCTTTAAGGTAAATTAGGAGTTAAGTTTACTAATATCAATCCAAGTTTTACTAATATCCAAGAAAAAATTTGTATAAGAATGTTCACCAACAGTCATATTCATAAGCAGTCTTATTCATAGTCCAAACTGGAAGTGATACACATGACTATCAAAATGAAAATGGATAAATAAATTTAATTCATTTATGCAATGGGCTAGTATTTGGCCATATAAAAGAATAAACTATAGCCAAGCATGGAGGTGAATGCCTGTATTCTTAGCTATGAGAAAGACTGAGACAGAAGGATTTCAATTCCAGGCCATACTGGGCAATTTAATGAATTGTAAGAGTGTCTCAAAATAAAAAATAAAAAGGGCTAGGGATGTAATTCAGTGGTATAACATCCTTGTATTCAATACCTGATAGGGGGGTAACAAAGAAGATGTGTGTAAGAACATGAAGGGATCTTAAAAACATGCTGAAGAAGAGTGGTAAACAAGAATGCATACTATTTTTTTTGCATAAAATTCTAGAATAGGCAAAACTAATCACAGGGGTAGACAGTAGAGTAGTGGTTACCAGAGAGGGGGACATTCATTGGAAAGGGTTATTAAGAGAATTTTATGGGGCAATGAAAATGTTCTATATGTTCAGGAGTGGGCATATGTGATTATGTAAATATTTGTCAAAACTCATTGAACCATATATACTTAAGATCACAGCATTTTATTCTATATAAATTATAAATGCATACAAAGGGGAGAATTAATAAACTCCCTGTTTTAGGTGGTATAGAGATAGGGGCAGATGGGAAATAGTTTTCACTGCATTTATTTTGGTACTTTTTGAACTTACTATATGCATATATTAATAATTTTTAAAAATTAATTCATTTTGTTACACATGACAGCACAATACTATAAATTATAGTTCACATTACACATATAGAGCACAATTTTTTATCTCTCTGGTTGCATATAAAATATATTCACACCATTTGTGTCTTCATACATGAAGTTAGGGTAATGATATCCATCTCATTCCACCATCTTTTTTACCCCCATGCCTCCTCTCTTCCCCTCCCACCCCTCTGCCCTCTCTAGAATTTGTCTATTTCTCCCATGCTCCCCCTCCCAACCCCACTATGACTCAGCCTCCCTATATCAGAGAAAACATTCGGCATTTGGTTTTTTGGTTAACAATTTTTAAATGTAGGTTTTATCCTTTTACTTCAAACCTGTTATGTTCTTAAAACAATATGAGAAATATTTATTATGTTTTCAAAGTTATGCAAGATCTCTGGGGATATTTTCTGAAAGCATACAGAGTTCTGATGTTGCATTAAAAAAATCTGAACAAACTTCAGTAACTTTTACCTCCATGACTGATAACTTTTTTATAGGGCTCAATTGCCTTCATATCAACCCTGTGATCCTGTTCTCCAATCCTGAACATACGCCAGCGTCGTCCATCTTCTTTTTCTTCTGCTGCTGAATATTCAGTGATTGAGCCTTTCCTAATTACTTCTGTTGTTTTGGGTTTTGGAAGATCATCTGTCAAAATAAAAGGGTTTTGAATCACAAATTGTTATTTCTATAATAAAAATCAAGTTATAAGTTAACCACTTCACTATCTAGATTAGTTAGAGATTTCTTTTTTCTTTTGAGATGTGGTCTTTATTGTCCAGGCTGGCCTCAAATAATCCTCTCCTGGGCAACTGGGACTAAAGGTGTATGCCACCATGCAGAGAATTTTTGCTACACTGTCTGTGGAATTTGAAATATCCCTTCCATAATACAGGAAAAGGCTTGCTTTTAATTTAAGGCCATTTATTCCTTTGGGAATCACAGTTTTATAAAACTTTTTATTGCCCAATTCAACAAAGACAGTTAATCACAGTGCAATGTCTATCAACAAGTTCAGGAAAAACAATTCATACAGCCATATGAGTCTTTAATACATTGACCCTTCAGGCATTTTCAGATCTCAATTATGATAGCACTGTCCCAGACAGTTACTACCACAGGTTACTTCAAGTAACTGAGAGTTGATTTCTTTTTAACACATAAATTAATTCCTCCAAATTGTAATACCAGATAGAAAGTGGTTAACTATTCAATAATCATTTCTCATTTAATCAGTTTTATGAAGCAGAAAAGTATTTATAATATTAAGAAGAATACATGCAAAAGTCTATTTAAATTACCATTAGCAAAAGCATAAGCATCAACGATTAGATGTAATTTATATTTCAAGATTGCAGTAGCTGATTTTTAATGAAATAATGATTTTCAAAATTTTAGTATCATAGTCCTTACCAAAAGATGGGGGGAGGGGAAACCTACTGCATGTTAGTTGTTTGTTTCCAAGACAAAGCTGTTAACGAAAATATCCTTCCAGGAAATGACTACAGCAGCATTAAAGAAAGAAGAGACAAAACACATAGGCAGAAAACTATTTCAGTATCTTATAAAATATTGCTTGTTACTGGACTGCTTATTGAACCAGTAAAACAGGGAAGAAGAACAAAAGACACAGCATATCACCTTCACTGCAGATAAAATACCTACCGCTAAACACTGCTTTGAAAAAAAAAATCACTTTAAAGATAAATAGATATAAAAATTATTAACTATATAAAAATATGTAATAAGAATTGTAATGTATTCCACTGTTATATATAAATAAAAAAAAACAATTATTTAACTCAAGAAAGCATGCAAAATAGAACACATGCCAATTCCTTTGAATTCTAAATAATTAAAATGATAAATATCAGGTTTGGGGGCCAAGAGTATATATTAATTCAAGTTGGTAATTTCATAAAGTAGAGCACTACCCAGGCAACCTACTTTAAAATCACCCTCCTAAGTCTCCCTTCAGAACTTCCTCTCCACATTTTTAGCACATTCCTTATTATATGTCTCTTGGAAGGATTTTTTTCCTTACTTGATCAACTGAAAAAGACCTAACTATCCAGCAATATTTTTTTATGTTGATAAAAAGAAACAAAAATTGGGCATCAAGAAGAAAATACAGCTACATATATAATCTACTACAAACAGTTTTGAACACTATAAAATATTTAGATGTTTGCAGAAATTTTAACTTAAATATATGAACACTGAAAAGAATAACATATTTTGAACAAAATCCTCTAATACATGGGTTTTAGTAGGCTTCATGATAAAAATTTTAAGGCTTATCAAGTATTTCCAAAAGAGAATATAATTGCAAAAACATGTGTCTGTGTGCTTATATATATGTAAAGGTAAACATTCATTCATAAAAAGATCAGATAAGCAGTAAAACAATTACCTTCCCACTCAAACTCATTACTGTTCTCTGATGGTGTGTCTAAACCATCCAAGTCAATCTCCCCACTTTCATCCAAATCATCTGACAACACAGAGCCATCACCCGGATCCAGTGTCAAGCTAATCTCTGGAGCCATTAGTTTCTTTCTTACTTTATTTCCATTAACTTCTAGTAAGCCTGAAAGTGGAAAACAAACACACACAACAATAGTAGAAGGAATGCTCAGATGATCAATTTAAAAGAGAAACACTTCAGCCACTTTATTCTTGAGAAAAACAATATTAAACAAAATCCCCAAGCACTGATTTATGAAACTTGAAAAAAAATTTTTTTTAAACTGTCGACGGACCTTTATATTTTTTTTATTTATATGTTGTGCTGAGAATTATGAATCCAGTGCCTCACATGTGATAGGCAAGTGCTTTAACCACTGAGCTACAACCCCAGCCCAAAACTTGGAATTTGATTACTAATGCTATTTTTGGTAGTAGTACTGGGATTGAACTCAGGGGTGTTCTACCAATGAGATTATTTTTATTTTTTGAGAAAGGGTCTCAGTAAGTTGTCTGGTCTGTTATGGAATTTGCAATCTTTTGGCCTCAGCCTCCCAAGTAGCTGGGATTACAGGCATGGGCCAACCTGCCCAGTTTCATCACTACTGCTTTTATATCATTGGCAAGAAAACAGTGAGGTATATATGTCTTTTTAAGTAACAGACAGACTTCGCAGTCACCTTTACCACTAAAAAACTATTTCCTCCTACTTGTAAAAACTTCTAAAAACTGAGGATTGTCTTTTTTTTTTTTTTTTTTTGAGAGACAGAGAATTTTTTAATATTTATTTTTTAGTTTTTGGTGGACACAACATCTTTATTTTATTTTTATGTGGTGCTGAGGATCGAACCCAGCGCCCCGCACACGCCAGGTGAGCGCGCTACCGCTTGAGCCACATCCCCAGCCCTGAGGATTGTTTTTGAGGGTTAAATTCCCCATGCACTTCAAAAGTGTTTTCCTCAATGTTCAATTTATCCTTTGGCTCCTTAGGATGGAGTAAAAGCTCATTGTGGCGTTTTTTTTGTTTTTTGTTTTTGTGTTGATAAAGAAATATGTTAAAAATAACACGAAGTCCATTGGCAGTACAGGTATCAAATTCTTACCAGGCTGGCTCTCTGGTCCAGTTACATCTAGTATATCTGCTTCAATACTATCATCTTCTGGTAAAGGTCTGGAAGACACAAACATACTCTTTAATGAAGAAATTAAAATTTTTTGAAGCTTAAAGATCTGTTAAAAATAAAGCTTATAGGAACAATTACATGGAAAACAGAACAATGCTGTTTCTTAAGATTTGGTAATTTACAAATCAATTTTTTAGAAAATTCTGTTGGGGTTACTTGTATGTCTGTGACACATAAAAGTATATATAAATTCTTTATTCAACAGCTCTTATCCAATTATAAGACATAAAAATTATTAAAAAATCATAAAACGATCCAAATGGATAAATATGATGTGGTGCATGATCATCACATAACAAAGCTACTTGCTTACTCACAATGAGAATATGGTAATGCTGGCTACAATTTGTTTGAGTTTGGCATTTCCAAATTACTATCATCATCATGTGCTAAAATGACTCAGTTCTCCCGCCTGCTCCTGCTGTCCATATGCCAATTGCTAAGGTACCTTACTGGGTAGTATGTTTTCTGATCATGATGGCACAAAAAGCATCATTTAAATAGAAGGCCTTTCTTTGCAAAGTGTCAAAGGGGCTAGTCAGATGATTCAGAAGATCCTTGTTTATTTATTTACTAAGTTTTTTCTTACAAACAACTTAAAACTCCCTTCTCCTAGAAGCCTCTCATATTCGAGTTCTAAAAATCCCACATTAAAATATTGTTCATTAGACAAATATTTTGAAACTTAAATGATCAAAACAGTTAAGAAAAATAAAAATTACTTATATGTTGAGATGGAAGAAGAGAATCATTCCCAACTACTGCAAAGGAACTTTCAATTCCCAGTATTTAATAACCACCTTGTTAATACTATTTTTTTAAAAAAACCTAATATTCATTAAGCAACATCTCAAAAAAAAAATTCTGAAGTTTTGTTCTACATTTGTTTTCATCAAAAAGCAATGCTCACATTGGAAAATCTTCATCTTGCCATTCTTCTTTCAGTTCTACACCTTCCATTCTCAGCCTGGATTCAATGTCAACTATTGACTCCTGATAATCCAGAGAGCCAATATCCTGTGAAAAAAGAAAAATTGACAATAACTTAATTTCCACTTCACATTTTTATTGGCTGTAAAGGTGCAATCTTATACCTTAGTATAATTTTCAGTTGCATATATGCAAATTGTGTCTCAAATTGTGATTTAAATTGCATTAAAAAAATTGAGGTAAGATAAGAAATTATAGTTAAATACAGGACTGGGTGTAGTTCAGTGGTAGAGTACTTGTCTAGTATGCCCTGGGTTCAATCCCTAGTACTGAAGATAGAGCTTGATTCTAGAAATTAAACACTAGTAAACAATATTTATACTCAAAAGATTCAGCAGAGTCAAGTAGTATGCTACCATTTATATTTTCTTTATAGTTTTGATGCCACAATTCTTGAATCAGTCTATTTAGTAACTTGTCCAGTAAACAGAATTAGGCTAACTTTTGATCTGCTTCATATGTATACCATGTCTTTTCACACAGTGTAACTTTTCAGACTGAACTTAGTGGTATTTTACTGTAAGCAATTATATATTTTAACTTGTGTTATAAACTTTTATTTTAGTTTTTTAACAAAGGGCATGAATGCCCGCCCCACCACCCCCCAACTCCGAATCCTCATTTTACAAAGTGAGGAGTCTACAGATCCTCCCTTTGGTTGATGGAGTAAGTTGATACAGTACAGAAGTCATGAAAAGTGGCTGGTAAAGAGTGCAACAAAAACAGTGACAAATACAGGCAATGAGGTATATATAAGTATTTAGCTCATTTACATTAGAGTGAATCAGTAGATGAAGTTATTTAAAAAACAGCAGTAACATATTTCTTAAGATCCATGGAACATGACTAGAAGTACTAAAAACAAAGTTAACAAGTAGCTGATGCCAGTAGAAGAGGAAAGAGGGTGGTATGGGGAGAAAGATTCATAACATAGCAAGTCTTTACTGTTTTCATAATAAGCCTTTCTACACTATTTGATTTTTTAAAAACTATGTGTATAATTTAAAAAAGTACTTTTCAAATAAAATAAATGATACCAGCAATACCAGTTGTTCTTCTAAAACAAAGATGTGGTCTTGTTTTATGTTCACCTTATGTCATTACAATACTCAAAGAATATAGTAAAGTCGTACCAAAAAACAGCATTATGTTCCAGGACAACAAAATTACAATGGAGATTTCTTAAAAGTTTTAAACTTCACATGTTAAACTAAATTCTGTTCTCAGTCAAGACTGAGAGGGTCTTCCCAGTACACATCCAGAGGAAGGTTTCAAACATTCTCAAAAGGTTTTACATTTTTGAAGACCTACTCACTGGCACAGAAAAAAATGGCAGATGCTGACTTTTCCTCACAAAAATATTTGCTTGGAAAAATTAGTTTATTATGTACAGGAATAAGGAATTTTTAATTCTGAGAAAACAATGAGCCAGGCAATTTGGAAAAATTAATGGGGAAAAAAAGACTTAAAATACAATGACCTTGACTTATTTAGCAGTTTCTGTTTCTAATACATAATCTATACTGTATTAACATCCATTTTCAATGTTGACTTTATAGATTTTGTTCTGACAATAATTCTCTGTAAAGGAGATGAGAATCAATGGGAGTGGGGGACACAACTGTCTTACCAAACAACCCCTTCTATTTATATAATGAATTGAAAAAAAGACTAGTTTCTCCTAGATGGTTAAATTGCTAGATATTTCTTAATGTTTTCTCAAGTCTTTGGTACTTGCTCTACAGTGAACAAATATATTTCTCTAAATTCAATATAATCAGAAATGCTTCTCATTATTTTGTCTCACTTTTCTATAATTGGAAAAAATATTAGGATGTTCTGGGTTATCTTTCTCAAATAGTTCAAATAATCAGAAAATATTTAATATTTAAAAAATAACAGCAATGACTGAAAGTTGCAATCAATATATTCCCAACTCCTGGAACACTGCTTGGCACATTTCAGGCCTACAAATATTAAGTGGAAAAATACTTAATTGTAAGGTATGACACTGGATAGAAAACTGTTGTTCAGCCTTAGGTTTATTTTGCTTGTTAAATAGGATTCTTGTTATGTTTTACCCTTCAAAAATGTAGTGAAAATACTTTGTAGGAACCCACATATGTGCAATATAAATTTCTGTTGGCAAAATTATTCCTTATTTGTAAGAAGAAATATTTCTATTGTGAAACTCTAGAAGAAAAACCAAGTCTTGTAGCTAATTTACCACTTGAACAAGCTTATCACTTGCAAAATGCTCCTTTAAACAAGAAAGCCAAATCTTTCAGTTATTTCAACCTACTTATTCAACTTTTACTCTAAAATATTGAATGATGTAATGTTAATACATCTCAGTTATGTTGTTATGGACATTTAGTTTGATGGCTAATTAATTAAGCTAGTTCAACAGAATATGAGAGTGAGAAACATGATTAACTCCACCTTTCAACAAGAACTTTAGGAGAACAGTACATTAGGTAGATAAAAACAATTTCAACAATTCAGACTACTGTTCTTGGAAGCACTTTATCACCAAGCAGCTGTAAGAACAGGAAACAAACAAGAAAGGAGTTAATGTAAGCACAACCACTTTGAAGGAAATCAGGATACTGCTGACTCACAAGTTAACTGTGGTTGTTTCCCATTTTTTGTTCAAAGATTTTTCTTTTTTAAAGGAGAATGGGGAAATAATACTTTACCATGTTACTTGTGAAAATAACCTAATACAAAAGAAATAATCTGATTTCTCAATAGATTGGTGGTAGTGATAGCATATCCTTATTTATGGTAGGTATCTGTGGAGGTCATAATAATGAATTTCAGTCTTTGACATCAGTGAGATTAAAAATCAAGGAGAGAATGGATTTCCTTCTAACAGCTTCAGAAGGGAGGTATGGTGATAAATCCAACAAAGATAAAGAAGGGAATTTCCACGCATAGCTGAGCAAGCAAAAATCAAATATTAAGATCATATTTAGAACTGTATAGACTATAACTTATAATTGTACTCAGCAATTTTACTATTACGTAGTTTAACACTGCTTCTAGAATAGGTGCAAGTAATGACCATCTCTGCTGAAATCAATTACAGCTCGAAGAAAGAAAACCCAGATAAGTCTTTTATTTACCCATTTAAAAGAAAATGTTTCATTCTAAAATACTGGTATTCACTTTTTAATGAACAGCCTGCATATTTATGAAGATCATTAAGACATGCCTGAAAAAATCCTACGTGTTTGCCTGCCATTGCTCCCCTTGGGATCAGGTAGGTTTCTAAGAATGCAATGAGATCTCTATCAGAAATGTTAACACAAAATTTAAAGAAAAATTGTGGAGTGGTGTTGACATTTCACATAAGTGTGGAAATAAAGCGCAGAATAGTTATGCCACCTACATTTACTAAATTTTCAGTGTGCAGAATATGCTAGAGATGCTCTGATACCTCTAAAAACATTAAAATCTAACACCTGTTATAATTTTGGTTATAATATAAAACTATAATTTTGAAATATTACTATTCTGCTTCATAAGATGTAAGGTTAATGAGATACCTTTTTATCCTGTCAAAGAGAATTTATCAGATGTATGCATGTGTGTATACACATACATATATATACACACATACACACTCTTACTTTCTGGATGCCTTCCCCCCATATCACTCCATCAGCCTACAATGGATACAATGGATAGAACAACTGTCCCAAAGAGTGCTTTTCACATTTACTAACCACTTTTGTTTTTTCATCTGTTTCAATCAACAACTTTGTAAGGTATAAAACATTGGTGTTATCATTTTCATTTTATCTTATTTATATGAGTCAAATGACAATACACCCTCCTTCCCAGATATGGACCAGAACTGTTTCTATTATAGCACACTGTCTCCAGTTCACTGGCAACTTTATACAGAATAAATCTGTAATGCCAGATTTGGTTACACTTGGCTTCAAAAGTCCTGTAATGCCTAACAACCATAATAGTTTTTTTTTTTGTTTTGTGATAAGCTAGTTTAACTTTCATGTACAGAGGGTGGGTCTGTAATAGTTCCTGTACATGCCCAAGATATTAGGCTGCACTAGAAACTATTATGAAGACTAGAATAAGAGTTTAGAGAGAATGTAAAATGACAAGATCTAAGGAGAAAATGTACAATATAACCAAAAAACTACTAGTTTACAGGAACTTAATTAGTAATTTCGGCTATGACTTCCGAAAGCTTACACATTCACAAATTACATAATTTCTTTTACAATTGCAGAAATTTTTATAAAACATTTGGAAAGATACATTTAACTGAAAATACGAAATCAAACATTTGGAAAAAGAGAGCCTAATTCAAACAAAGTTGAGGATGAAAAAAGCAACACTAAAATGCAAAGACACACTTCATTCAACTAATGGGAGGCACCATGACTACCTTGATGGAACACTACAAAAGCTGTGCCCTCAGAGTTGCCAGGACAGACAAAGGAAGTTTCAAAGAAACCTAATAAAGACCCAAATAAGTTTCTGACTTAATATGACCTGGTCTAATAATTATACTTCGGGAAAATCCAAACCATGTTTTCCTAGATATTTAAACAAGAAAGGCGTGGTGAAAACTCGCAGGACTCAGCTTTTCATGTACACACCTATATTTGTTTTAGCTTCCCAGAAGATCTATTTAAGCCCTGGTTACTTAGGCTGTTTCCGTGTCTATCCCCCGAGGGTATGAGGCACACCAGAAGTCCAAGTTTCTTTGTTCTGCACCTGGGCCGACGCTGGTCATAAATAAGGAACCAAAGTTGTCAGCGCACCAAGGCTGGGGTGGCGGGGGGAGTAGAGAAGAGGGACGATTCCATCTCAGGGACAACCAACAAACGGAAAAGCAGGAGGCGGGTGGGGGCAGGGAACGGGTGTTGGCAACCGCGAGCAGAACCCAGGGCGGGGACCTAGGCTGGGCGGGGATCCGGAAAGCACCTCCGGGGCAGGTTCCGAGGCGTCCCCTACAACGCACACCCCACTGGGTTTCCCCTCCCCGGGGGGCGGTGGGCACACGCCCCATAGGCGTACGCCCCCAGGCTCGTTCCCAGCCCGGACTCGCAGTGCCGGGTCCTCCCAGGCCGCACTAACCCCGGAGGAAGCCTTGGCCCCCTCGTTCTCTTCGCCCCTCCAGGCCGGCGACGTGGGGCTGACGGCCAGGTCGCAGAAGGCGGCACCGAGCGGAGCCCGCTCCCCTCGGTCAGCGGTAGAAAGTCCAGCCCGGTTTCCCGGCCGCAGCTGTAGAAGAGGCGACAGAAGCTGACCCGGACGCAGTGAGATGCCCCAGCGGAAGTGACTACCTCCCGGCCTTCTTTAGGCGCGGCAGCAGGCGGAAGCGGAGGCGTGGTGTCATTTTGAAACCCACAGCGTCGCCCCGCCCCCTGGGCGGTCGCAGGCTTAAATTAACATGTGCGTGCGCGCACGCCCTGCGTTCCAGCTGGTGGGGCCGGTGGCTAGGACGCACCACTGGACTCTCGGTGCTTCCTCTCCTTTTGGTGTTAGCTGGGACGCTGGCCTGCAGTTGCGACGAGGCATTTTTTTTTTCCTGCTTGTATCTATTGATCGTCACAATAACTGTGCATTACAAAATGGATAAAGGGGAGGAAAAATATCCGATGCTTCATTTTGGAGAGCTGGACATTAGAGGAATCCTTAGAGTTTGGTAAAATTCCCCAGTGTGAACCGCTTGACAGCAGTGCTTCCCAAAATGTGGGGAGCGAAGCCAGCCTTAACTACTTAGCGAGGCCCTAAGCTGCTCAGCGAGAACCCGTCTCTTAAAAAGATGATGATGATGATGATGATAAAATAATAATAATAATAATAATAATAATAATAATAATGCTGTTAATGTGGCTCAGTGGTTAAGTGCCCCTGGGTTCAATCACGGTGGACCTCCACCTCCCCCAAGTGTGGGAAGCGATTAGTCTTTTTTTTTTTTTTCCTAGTTAGTTGTGGATCAGACTTTGATAAAACAGAACAGAAAAGTTAAAAAATAAAAAATAAAAAAAAAGACCCTCACAAAATCCAAGTCAAAACATTTTATTATTAGAGCACGGGACATAAAGTTACTTGTAAAAATGCCGTGAAGGATCTCAATTTCTATACTTTTTTTTTTTTTTTGCTGTGGACCAATAAAGAACAATTCTCAGAAGGGGTGAGGTCTGTGTACCACACTCAGAAGCAACTGTCAGCTGGGACGCTGGCCTGATTCATGGTTTCAAGGAAATGAGATTACTTTGGAGAACATCATAATCCCTCTCAGAAGTTTCATCTACTAAATCTATACAAAAGTCCAGCGGTCTACTATTTGGGCAATTCTATTAGGAAATGAGAAGGCCTGAGAGGAACAGAAAAGTAAAAATTCAAATAATTGACCCAAAATGCTGTTGACTAGATTCATGTTGCTTTGGCAACATTTACTCGCTGTTGGCAGTTAATTAACTCTTCTGTGCTTCATCTACAAATGGGGGGAAATAATGCCTACTTCGTAGGGTTTTTTTTGAGATAAAGTGATTTGTAAGAATAGTGGTTGGCATGTTGTAATCACATATAAGCATTAGGCATCATTATCATCCTCCTAGTAATTTCCCTAAATAGCTGGCAGAGAAAACAAACTAATCAACAGAGCTTTAACTAAACAAGTTGGGCCATTTAAGAAATTTCATTCTTTGTTGCAGATTTTTCATAATTCCAAATTTTACTTTGTTTTGTAATGTGCAGAATTCCCCACAGGGTGGCAGAAAATTATTTGAAACCATGTAGAATTACATGTTTTTGTGATCTTTCGTTTCTTCTTCATTTCAGTAACTTAAGCATTTAAGCTTTGATCAGTGTTTGGTTTTGAGTAAGCCATTATCCTATTTGTCTTTTCCCCCATCTTGATGAATTATCCACATGTATTGTTGAAACATTAGAAACTATAGGGAAACCAAAATAATAATCACTATTAATACATTTATATATATCCTTTCACATTTGTGTATACATATAACTATAAACTACATATGCTTTCATAAAAATATGGATAATGTACTAATAGTTTACAATGTTATTTTTTCCTTTTCAATTTTTTAATTTGTTCTTTTTAGATATACATGACAGTAGAGTGTATCTGGACATATTATACATACATGAAGTATAACTTATTCTAATTAGGATCCCATTCTTGTGGTTGTACATAATGTGGAGTGTCACTGGTGATATATTCACATATGAACATAGGAAAGTTATGTCCAATTCACCTATTTTCCTTTTCATATAAAAATATATCATTAACTTCTTTTCAGGTCAATAATTATATTTCAATATCATAATATTTATTATAACTTATTTATTAGCAATCTTTTATGGAACATTTTTTTACAGTTAAAAAACATTTCTTGGTGTGTTCCAAAAGTTGGAAACATAGGATTAACTTATTTTCAAATAATAATTATACTTTGAAATAATATGCTCAATATACTTTTCTTCCACTTCTTACAAGAGTCTAACGCAATGGATCCAGTTATTGATCTGAAAAAAAAAAAGAAAGTTATTAAAAACATACTATTTTCCCTGTATTTTTAGACTTTTGGAACAATGTTGAATGTATTTTTAAGATTACTTATTGTTTCTATATGCCTTCTTAAATATTTAGATTCTCAAAAAATGGAAAAAAAAGATTCAGGAAAAAAAGTATGGCTTCCAGACCTTAGGTAGAAGGTATCACTTAGAAAGTGGTACGTTAGCTTAGAGCTGCCATCAACCTTTTCCTTTGTGGTTTCTAGCTTTGGTCTTATGTTTAAATAGGCATTCCCCACCCTAAAATTATACAAATAGTTACTGTTGTTTTCTTCTGGTGGTATAATAGTTTCTATTTTTTACATAAGAATATTAAATTCAATTGGAATTTTATGTATATGCTTGTAATATGAAAAGTGGAATCTGACTTGATTAAACTGACTGGTTTGCCTAACAACATTTATCAAAGCATCCAATAATTCTTGAACTCAACTAGGATTCAGCCAAATGAATATTTACTTTCTGAGATGTCATTTTAGGTTATTCACTTCTTTAAAGTAGCCAGTCATTTGATAGATTTTTTTTGAACAATATTATAAGTCAGTGCTGTTGGACCCTGAGGATGCAGGAAAATAAGACCCAGTGTCTACCTTCAAAGACCTCAACAGACTAGTATGAACGAGGAGCAAATGAAGATAATAAACACTTGGTGGACTGAGGTGACCTTGGTACTTCTAAGGTACACCTAAATGAATGGAGTTAAACAGATGGGAAGGAGAAGAGAAAAGTAATGTGAGCCTTTCTGAGGGAAGAGATCTCGAGCTTAGTGACAAGAGAAATTCCCGTTTCAGAAGGAATGGCTTATGCAGAGATTTCTAGAGACTGTACACTGTTCAGTTATAGCACAAGCAGTGGGAGAGTGGGTAGTTGTGAACAGACCATGATGAAAATGGGTTGTCAAAGACCAAATTAAAAAGAAAATTTTTAATGGTAAGGATTTAATTCAGAGCTAATATAGTGAGCAACATGCAAAAGCAATCAATCATTACTGTATAATTACACTCAGCAAGAAGAGATTGAAGGATGTTTCTGTGTAATGACATAGTTCTCCTAAGAGAACAGCTAGAAGGGAAGCAATAGTCATTTGATTACGTGCTCTAGTATGTGTGTTAAGATTGTTCATGATTTCTTGTCATACTCCATACATAGAAATAAAAGCACTCAGCCAACATCAACTTAAAGAGATATTGAGTCTGTGCCAAGAATTATGGGACGTGATAAATGGTAAAAGGTATCATATAACCTATGCTAGCAGAGAATGACGTTATCAGACTCTGGGGAGAATAGGTCCTTTGCCACCTTTTTAAAAGTTAGAATAACAACAGTGTCTCAGGGTGACTGGTGGAGTGTCATTTCTCTGGGAAGCTGTGTCTGCTATTATATACATGTTTTCTTTTTTAAAAAATATTTATATTTTAGTTGTAGGTGGACACACAATATCTTTATTTCATTTTTATATGATGCTGAGGATCAAACCCAGTGCCTCACACGTGCTAGGTGAGTGCTCTACCACTGAGCCATAACCCCAGCCCTATATACATGTTTTCCATAGGGAAGAACCACTGGTAGCCTGGGAGGTATTAATTACTACACACATTTTCTTTTCTTTTTTGATGATGATGATGATGTGTTGGCAACTTTTCCACATGGAAGCCATGGACTGGGTATATATTTTATAACCTATTTCCATTCTCCACCAGGCCCACTCTTCCTTGAAAGTATGAGAATCTTGTTCTACCTTCTGTGCAACACACAGATTCTTGGATAGCTCTTTTTGCTTCTTTGTGCTTTGTTATTCCCATTGCTACTCCTTCCTCCTTCATCAAATCAGTCTCCCTGCATCTCTTCAACATTAAGAAATTTTGATGTTCTATTACTCTGTACTAAGAGGCCATGTTGTACTCCTACAAATTGTTTTGGTAAATAATTAAAAGGGCATCTCCTTACGTGGCTTTGTCTGGTGTTCTTCTTTAAGTCCTGCCTGACAGATGACACAATCAAGGTAACTAGTAAGAGGAGAAAATTCTTATCAGGGTTATTGCTAGCCTATGGTACAATTTTATGCAAAATAGTCATCAGAATCCCTTCTGTCTAGATGAAACACCTTGGGGCATGGTTGGTGATCTGAATGCTACCTTTTCTAATTCTCACATATACACTTTTGCATAAATTTTCAAAATATAGTCTTTACTTCAGGGCAGATAGAGCCTTGCTCCAGAACATGCAGCTTGAGAAATTGAGTGGTCCTTCAGTTGAATGCTGCTCACCTGCTTACAACCTGCTCACCTAAACAGACTGGCCCTAGTTCTCCACTAATATCTTGGGATTGAATGTAATTCTTTTACAAAAGTGCTCCTTTATTCTGTTAATAAAGCATTTTTTGAGGATTTGTTCTGAACATGAAATGCAGTTTCTGGATACATTCATACATGGTACTTAATAATTGCTCACAGAGCTTTCTTCTCAACCTTGACCTGAGATAAATGAGAGATGCTGAAGAGTAAGACATTTGAGATAATACTAAGAAAACACTTGTATAAGTTCAAATTTCAGAAGGCATAAGATGCATTAAGTAAAACTCTTGCATGCTGCTTTCTCTCTAAGAATTTACGGACCATTATTCTTGCTTACAAGCATATAAATTCAGTAGTGTTTGGCAGCTCACTCATAATTTTTGAAAAAGCACCACATATCTTTTTTACATGGAGTGAAGATGTCTTTGCTAGTTAAGCTCGAGG